AACCAAAGGTAACTATTTTGTCAGTCTGTTTTATTATCTCACATAGAAAAGAGAATGAAGCACCAATGCCTTAGATATATTTTTTGAGAATTCTTGAAAAGGATGTTGTCAAATGAACCATATGCTATGCATATAAATTAAGACCGTGTTTATGATTATTTCTAATACAAACATACTATAGATGTAGAAGTCTTTAGTTTAACTATGTAATCAACACCTGTTTGTTTAAGAAAAACAAGGCTGTCTTATTACAGCCTTTTTTAAAAGGTTTCACAGGATCAGTTTAGACAGAGCCTAAGCAACCCTGTTGTCATGCTGATAATGTATGTGTTTCAGGCAATTATTTAATTTAAAATTGCCCAGAAACTCCTCAGCAAAAGCACTGGAATGTGTTGTCCTTCATTAGATGCTTTTAGCAACATCTTTTTCCCTGCTCCTCTCAAAAGGTCAGGGAAAAAAAAAAAAGATAAGATGCATCTTCTAACAAGCTGTTGTTGTCTGCTGGGTGAGCTCTGGGGCTGTGTAAACCCTCGTGCATACCAAGGAAGTTTTGCAAAAATATCCCGCTGCTCCTAATTGTGGCAGTGTTGGCAGGAACAGGCTCTGCATTGTGGGACCCTCGCTCGCTGCTCCCGGGGTTTTGATCAACACGGGTGAAATCTGAGCCCAACAAAAGTCAATGAGAGGTTTGTCTTTGCACAGCAGCCAGGATTGCTCCCCAGCTGTTCCAGACACAGGCAGCATCCTAATGAGGAGAGCACACAGATCCCTGTGGCTGGATTTGCAAAGCCAAAAGCTCATTCCTTGAGCGGCGAGCTTTTTGAACATAACAAAAGCTTTTAAAAAGTTGAGTTAATCCACAGTCCTCATATGAGTGACTTAATATTCTGATAAAAGTATCTCAAGTCTTAACAACTGAATTTTGGAATTCCAGGAAGAATTTCCTCATGGAAAATGTTGGATTGGGCTGTCCAGGGAGGTGGTGGAGTCACCATCATTGGAAGTGTTTAAGGAAAGATTGCACGTGGCACTCGGATCTGGTTGAAATGGTGATGGTTGGTCATGAGTTCAACTCAGTCCTGAAGATCTTTTCCAAACTGATTCTGTGAACTCTCTTGAGATCACCTAAAACCTGCATTATTGTGTTGAACCTGTGAGCTGGAATGGATGGAGTTGTCCAGTCCAAACATGGCCATTGTGGATTGCTCAGAGCACCCTGGGACGTGATGGCTTTAACACAGAGACAAAGGACAGTTGTGGTCATGCATGGTTTGAGTTTGGGCAGTGCTGCTGTGTTTTAAGCCATTTAGTTGCTTTAATAGTTCAATAAAATATTGTTCAGGGAAATCTTAAAGTTGGCACAGTGTTTGCCAGCCAAAGACTGCAAAGTATAGACTTCAAAGTGATTTAGGGAGGTTGATTTAATAAACATTAATCACCCCAAACTTTTCACTTTACTGTGCTTCTAATGTGTTTTTAGAATTTTCTGGATATGGGTGAAAAGTCTGGAGGAAATCATGGCATGTGAGCCACTAACACTGCTGCTAATGTCTCACTGGCACACTTGAGGTGTGATTTATTAATTGAATATCTTTCTCATCTTCTGATTTTTTTAAACAGCCTGATTGGGGCCATTAGTTTGGCCATTCAGTTTGGGAGAGGGAAAAAGCAATATTGTATCAATTACTCTAAATTCATTGCTGTGTGCTGCTGAAATGAATGTGACTAAGAGTGGTAGTTTGCCGCAGGATTTTCTAAATAGTTTGTCATGTTTCCATTTCCTAAATGTTCAGGTTTAGAAAAACCAATTATTTAATTTGTTCAAAGAAATTTATTTAAATTAGAACTTGTATCTTGAAACCTTATCAAGGAATAGCTGAGCTTAGAGTTATTTTTGCTGGGGTTTTGGAGAGGGGAGGATGTGAAAGTAAAGGACATTTGCTGTTTAAGAGGATTGTAAAGGAAATGAGTTTGCAGAAGTTGGAGATAGTGCATGGTTTGAGGAAACTGGAGGCTTCCTGTATAACATTAGGCAGATCACTTGACCATAGTACCTTGACTTTTCTTACCCATAACATTGGGCCAGTGAAGAAATATAGATAGTTGGAAGGTCCCACTTAATTGCTGTATTTAAAAATGAATTTTGGAAAGCAGAAATTACCATCTGAGGGCAAAGATTTGCAAAACCAGAAGTGCCTTCGCTTACAGCAAAGGACAACACAGCAAGAATTAGGGGTTATATAAGTATATTTAGAAATTGGTTGAACTAAAAAGAGGCAGTAGTTCCCTGAACTCTTCAGGATGTGATGCACAGTGCAAGTATTTATCACTATTTAATATTTCACTATTTAATAATCTTCAGCAATGCCCATTTTACATCTCAGGATTCCATTTGTGCAGAAGAATTTCTAAAAACTAAAGTATCAAAATGCAGCAAAATCTGAACTGGATGCAGTCTTACTGCTCAGGCTGAGTGCTTCGTGTTTATACTTCCAGAAGCTTGTGCAGCTTGTTTTACAGAGAAGACAAATTTGGAAATAACAGGGATGGCTTGTTAAAATTACATTATTCAACTACAAAGGTTTAAAAATTCATCTGATAGGCTTTTGTTTCCAGGTTCATCCTTCAGCTCCTCTCTGCAATTGTTTCCTGTTAAACAAACCTGGCATGTTGTTTTCCTGAGGTTTATGGGTCATTGACAGTATTGGGTTTCACACAGTCCAGCTGCTCCCAAATCAGGTCCCTTCCTACCCCAGCAGAGTGGGGAGCACACAAATGGGGGCTGGTGGAAGCAGGGAAGGCACCATGAAGACATCAGAGTCATTTCCTTCCAGCTTCACTGCTAAGGCTTCCATTAATTTCATGCTCATTAGCAAAATGTTGAAAAATGTAGTCTTAAGTTGCAGTTGTTCCTTGGGACTGTTTTTGTTGCTCCTTGGGAGTGTTTTCCTAAACCCTAATGACAAAAGGCTGAAACGAGGAGCCCCTGGCAGGGAAGAGGCAGCATCTGTCACACGCGGAGTTGAAAGGACATGGGGATCTACAAAGGGAACTGAAATCAATTTGGATTCTTTCCCTGCCACCCAGCAGTTTTACAGTGATGTCAGGGATTTTTTAATGTCACAATGTGGTGAGGCAGTGTTTGGAGAAGGTCTCTGCTGTCCCAGCAGTGTCAGGCTGTCACTGTTCCCCCCTCCATGGCCCAGTGGCCACACGTGCTCCCTCCTCGCAGGGCAGGAGCAGAGGCACAGCTGAGCATGGCATGTGCCAGGATGGAAAACATTTCTGCCTCTGGGCCTGTCTTGTCTGCTTTAAGGATTTTCATGTGGAGATAAGCACCATCCAGACACATAAAGCTGTAGAATGTCCCCGTGCTCAGTTCTAGGTGAGCATCTCTCCTTAACAGACAGTGTTTGGGACTTCCCAGGGTAGCCTGGTTCTGTTCTTGCAGACATGTTGAACATTACTGTAATTTTTAAGACTAAATGAGCCTATTGGACATAGCATGATAGAGAATTGCAGTTTTGGGGCTTTTTGCTGTCATGTCTGATGGAGCCAGAATGGCAGCTTTGAAATGTCCCTTGCTCCCCTGACACAGGAGAATACCAGTTGCTGTAGTGGAAGATGCAGGAAACCAGGGAGCTGCCAGTTGTGAAGTGCTTGCAGGCATATTTTTCTAACTGTGGCACTTTGTAGCAGGTTAATGATCTGGAGTGTGAGCTTTTTTTAACCCAACAAACTGTAGGTATCACTTTCCTCAAGATTTATCTAAAATCTGATTACACTTGGGCATGACAGCACATGAATTCTAGTGGGATTATCTGGCAATATCTGGCCTTTATTTTTCTAGTTTACTCTATGACACTATTCCTGTATTTGAGTTAAACTAATTGCCAGTAAATAATACAAAAGAAAGTCCTCTCTCTTCCTGTTTCAGTTTGCTTCATTATTTATTTTACAGGGTGGGTGTGTGGAGGGGGAATAACCTGTTGTAGCAGTCAGCTGGGTCTGTATTCACATTCCTGTCTGGATCTGGCTCAATGACTTACACAATGATCTGGAATGAATTCTTTTCTTGAGGGAAGGCCAGGCATATGGAAGAACAGCTTGCCCAGAGAAGCTGTGGCTACCCCATCCCTGGAAGTGCCCAAGGCCAGGTTGGATGGAGCTTGGAGCACCCTGGGACAGTGGAAGGTGTCCCTGCCCATGGCAGGGGTTGGAACAAATTGCTCTTTGAGGTCCCTTCCCACCCAAACCATTCTGTGATTCTACAGATAATTAGTACAGATTAAATTCTTTGATAACGAGCATTATGTAAGGGCTAAGAACTGTTACTTAAACCAACTACAGCTAAGAGTCTTGTTCCAAAAAGCACATCAGGAGAGGAGTTCCTTGTTTAGCTGACATCTCAATTTAAAACTTGTGTTACACTTCACTCTGTGAACCCCCAGCATATGGGAGGAGGGATTTTGGAGGGACCCATGGCACCAGAAACCTCTTGAGAGTAAGGAGCAGCTGGCTTTGACACACAGCTAGTAACTGGGAAGAAGAGGGGTTTTTTTGTTGAGTTTGAATAAAAATCAGGACAGACATCAGTTGTTAAAATGTGCCAATCAAGTGCATCTTGGTAAATTCATGTAGAGAGAAATTTTAATTTAGAGCCAGTGTTCAGTCTGTCACCAAAGAAATACTCATCAGAAAGAAGTGCTTCAGATCTCATGATACTGGAAACCAATAATTATGAGATACAGGGAACAATACAAGGTAGAATTGCTAAAGGGATTAATTAGCCTTAGTCGAACTAACCACTATAATTGATGCAAATATCCATCTGCAGCCTGCTGAGACATTAGATAGTCATCACACACCTGCTCAATTCACCAGCCTTGCAGATCACAGCTGTCAGAATGATTTCTGGTTGGGCTTTTTCTTGAGCATACTTGACTGTTTGTTCTTTTGTTGTTCAAAATGTTTTCTTTCTCTTTTCTTTTTCTAAACAGCACTTCCATGATGGCAGAAAGGCACAACAACACATTGAAACTTGCTGGAAACAACTTGAAGCAGTAAGTGGCAAATTCCTCAGATGTGACATTAAAGTTGTTTATATATTATTTTCAAAGAGATAATTCTAAACGTTTTATTGGGAAAAAGACAGGTATATGGATAAAAGCTGTAGAAATGTGACTTCTAAAATCTGCTGTCTTAAATACACTCACAGTCTTGAAAAAATCTGTTTTAACAGAACATTTGGCTTCTGTGGGCTCTTTGTCTATCACGAGCAGGATTTCATTTGATATGGCTTGAAAAGTGTGCTAAGCATTGCTGGAACTGCAGAGTCCCTAAGGGTCCTGTTCAGATATTCCACTGCAAGTTAAACAGCTCCATAATGTGTGAATAAATTGAACAGGACTATCTCCTGAGTCAGGTGCTGCTTCCCAAAAATAAATATACATTGGAATTATCATTCATATGATGAATGAAAAGGGAGGCTGTAACTATAGGAGAGGGTAGAAAGGGGCTATCAATAACCAAAAGTCCTACTTGCAAAATTTATAAATCTTAGTAACTCCCTCATTCATTTACAAAAGTGAAGGGGTTAAGTGTTGGAAGAGAATGATTCTATCTACAAGAGTGGAAGTGATGCTAAAAGGGAAAAATACTGACATATGAGCAGCCTGGATAATAGAACCAAAAGTGTGCCTCTGGTAACTCTATTATTTGAATCTTGTTAATATGGAAATGTATTCCAGTATAAACAAGAGAGCCCCAAAATCCTTCAGTTGTTGCAACAGATCGTTTTAGTGGCAGGCATGAATTTTAGGTAGATTTTGCTATCTTTTGCTACCCATAATGAAGATTTCTGATTTTTCTTGTCAGAGTAAAAGGCGGTTTGAACGTGATTGCAAAGAAGCTGATCGAGCACAGCAGTATTTTGAGAAAATGGATGCTGACATCAACGTGACAAAAGCAGATGTTGAAAAGGTGAGCTGGAGGGTGGAGGCTGTTTGTAAACATGGATGTGATAGGTTTACTTCCTCAATCCTCCTGGCAGGATAAATCCTCTTCTGAGGCTTAATGCCTTACTTGTGTCAGCCTGCTGGTTAATTAAAACCTGGGCGATCTCTGCAGACACTTTTATTTATATGAAAACTCTAAACAGATTCAGTCAGGTTTTTTTTAGTGGTGATATCTGAGTTTAACAGAGCTGATATGGCTCTAAAGGAGTTGATGCAAGCTCAGTTTTGACTAACACCCCAGGTTCTGTGACTAGAACCAGGTCAGGCTTGTGAGAGCTGCCTGAGGGCTGCTTGCAGTTTCTACACATTTTCATTCCCTCTGTCATCCAGGTAGAACCAAACTTCCTGCCCTTTGAGCAGCACTTCAAAGATTTCCCAATGTCATTGGATGCAATGAAGTATTATTGGAATTGTTTTTCATAGTTGAAGGTTTAGAGCAGGACAGCTTTCCATGTGATGCAGGATCCTGGAATCCATGCTTGTCACAGATGGCACTAGGCTTTTATTTTCATTTCTCAGTTGCTGGCTGCTTTCAGAATAATTTGTGGCTTTTTTACAATGATCCCCACTCAGTGAAGCTTTTGAACTAATGCTTAATTTTAAACATCCAGTCCTGTTTTGGCACATCTGTCTGGAAATACTTTCTCTCTTTAGTTTGATTCAAAAGTGGATGTTTGGAAGGATGCTTAAAGTTTAAATTTTACTGGTGCAAGTCAAATGCCTCTAACTTAAGGAAACAATGAAGAAGAAGAAAATGTTTTAAATAGCTTTTGGGTTTGGAGTTACACATTTGCTCAGAAGATGCACTAATGTAGATCAGAAACACCACATTAAAATGTGTATGGACAGTTCTGTCCTCCTTTAGTTTGAGTCAGACAGACACAAAATAGCCAGAACATTTGAAAATGTTTATTTCTTGAAGGAAAAAAATAAAAATAAAAAGGCAACCAGAAGAGAAAGGAAAAAGTAAAAGCTGAAGCTTAAAATATCCAAATGTTTTGTTGCAAGAACAGGAAAGGAAAGTGAATTATAGGTAAGAAATCTTTCTAGTCTGAGGTCTCCTTGTAAAATGCAGGTTTTGCTTCTCAAGAGGTCTGCTTCATTCTATTCTAAGTTACTTCAGTCCTGTGAAGATATGAAATATAAATTTCCCTTTACATCTGTGAGATCTTGTGTTTCTGGTGTGCTGAGCATCACGACTTTGTGTGGCAGAGAGCATCAAGGATGCTCTTGGAAATGAGGACAGTAAATCATAAACAAGCTCAGAAAATTTCCCCCAAGTGCTATTGCATATCAAAGGACAAAATACCTCTGTGGTCTTGTAATTTGCTTGGCTCTTAGTTGCAAATTCACCATGTAGATTTGATCCTTTGTTGCCTTCTGGATTTGCCAGGGCACTTGACAGATGAATGCATGTACAGATTGTTAAAGATGTAGCACCACATGTGGGTTTTTCTAACAGAGAGGGATCATCTCTGCTTTATCTGTATAAAGTGATTTTAGAATACTTCTTTCATAGATAAAATTAGGGCTTGCCCTAGATTTATTTCCAAAGCTGAGGTCATGTCAAAGGGATACAAAGACATGACTTACTGTTTGAAATAGGGGACTGAAACTCCTTATTTCTACATCCCTTTCCAAGGCCAGCCTTTTCTAGTCAGAGTAAAATATGCCATATTGGTGATATATCAATCTAAGAGTGTTAGGTTAATTCTGGGAAGCAATTTCCTACCCTGGTGCTCTTTCCCTGTCAACTGAAGCAGAGAGGCTTCCCTTTTAAATTTCCTTAGCTTTTTATTGTGTGAATTTGTAAATTATTTATTGCAAAATGAGGCTCAGTGGTATCTTGAAAGAAAAATCTGTTAGTTATGCATGTTGGCAGCTCTCAGGAGAAGGCATTACTCTACTTTCCAGGCAGTCAACAGAGTAGATGGGAGAAGGAAAAGGTTATCAAAATGAGTGGAATGTGAAATAATATTACTGAACAGAGAGAACAGTGTTTTCCAAGTGCATGTGTTAAACTGGGTTCATCCATGTCAGGCTGTGAATAATGCCCTTTCTTTGCTCCCCTCTGCCCGTGTGACTGGGAGGCTCTTGCATAACTCCCAGTGCAGAATGGGATATTGTTCCACAGCACTGCTGCTCTCCCCAACTCACTCCAGGGGCTTGCAGGAGCTGCTCAGCTCCAAATGAAGCAATAGGATGACTTCAACCTCCTCCTTCTACTGCAGCACTTCTGATTTCTTTTGCCCCTTATGGCTTGGCTGCTGCACTCCTACCTCCAAAAGCTCCCAGAAATCCACCTGGCCTGGAGATTGGACAGTTTGGCTGTGTCAGAGCTCTTCTCTTTGGCAGAACAAGGTGCTCCTCAAGCATTTGGCCTGGTTACCCTCGTTTCTTTGGCTTGAGATTGACACCTTGGCTGCTTCAGCTTGTACCTGCCAATACGAGCAGACACAGGAGCTATTTTTGCATCACACATGATAGAGTGGATGGCATTAATGAAATTAAAATTCTACAGTGATCACAATGGCACAGTCAGAAGAGAATACAGCTGCAATTTCTTAATGCTAAGCCAAGTGAGGTTCTGAAATGCTCACATCTCTTCATCTTTCAAGTCTTTGTAGCCTTTGACAACTGCAGCAGGAAATTCTGTGCCAGAGCTGCCATCTACCAGCACTTATCCCTTGCCCAAGGTATTACAATTTGGGAGCATTAACTAACCAGAAAAGTGTCAGAGAAGCAGAATAAGGGTCACTTTCCTCCTTATTTCTCCAGGACTGCTTGGCAAAGGGCCTAAAGGCAGGGCTGGATGTGGAGCCTGAGTATCATGTACCCAGATCCACATTCCTTCTGTAGGACAGGTATGTGGAGGCACATCCCTTCTGTGGCCAGCATGGGCTCCATCACCTTGCAGGCAGCAGCCTGGTAGCTGATCTTGGAGGGAGGAGTGTTTGTTTTTGTTTCTTCTCAGCTCCTTTTTTGGTAGTGGAAACATGGTGCAGAAGCTGTGCTGAGTCTGCAATGATCACAGTGTGCAGGAATAGAGGGAGAGTGGAGCAGGGCACCTGAGCTTCCTTCCCTGTTTGCTTTGAGCCTCTAAACCCCCAGCAGCCAAAGCTTGCAGAAGTGTTTGTGTCAACACAAAATGCAGTGTAGCAAAGTCAGGGCAGGAAGCTCCCAGTCTGTGAAAATATCCTTATAAACTAAATAAATGCTGCAACATGCTGATGCTGCTTCCAGAAAGCCTTGTAGGTATCACTGAAAGCTTTATTTCATTTGGATCGCAGTGGGTTGTGTGCTTTAAAGCACTTCTCTTTCAAAAACCACAGAGGAGCTGCTTCAATTTTTTGACCATTTGGGGAAATGGTCTCTGTCGCCAGCACGGAGCCACTGTACATATAAGGCAGAGCTCTATTGTTTCTGCCTTCTCTTCAGAGCTGCAATCACTAAAAAGCTGACATCTTTATGGGATAATGTGGTACCCAGTGGTGCCTTTGCAGACTTCTTGTAATAAAATTTAAAAATCAACTGGCTTTTCTAAGGGGTTCTGTTCCAGGTAGGCATTTCAGAGTCTGATTTTAAATAGGAAGTGGCTGAGGCCAAGGATGGGAAGGGTTTGCCTCTTCATTTGCTCAGCAGTTGTGGTGGGGAGAGTGGTTTGAAGTACTTGGTGTCAGGCAGGAACTGTCCCTTGGCTGAAGAGAAACTCGGTCAAATGTTGACCTTAGGCAATAATCTGATATACTTAGGAATTTTAGATGTATTTGCCTTTGGTTTTGAAGTGGAGAAACCGAGGGAACTGGGAGTTATCTCCAGTTTACTGAAATCTCTCAAAGCTTTCCCCTATCCTCTGCAAGTTTCAGGTTATGTCTGCAATATCCAAGATGTTTTGGAGACCCAGAATAGCTTCAGATTTGCATGAAGCCTTAAAATAGAATATCACCATGATAGTAGTTTTCTAGTCTGTAAATATAACTGTGGGGGAATACTGAGGTTTCGTGTTTGAAGTTTCATTTTCTCTTTTCTCGTGCCACGTTACCTGGGTGCTGAATTTCTGCACAAAGCACAGAGTCTGTCCCCCTCCTTACCCTCAGGAGACACACTTGGCATGGCTTGGGGTAGGTGAATCACAGGCAAAGTCTGACAGAACGTAGGTGTAGAAATCCTGCTAATTGGAACCTGGGATTAGCTGATCTTCCTGTGTCCTCAGCAATGCTCTCAGGTGGGAACTGCATTTCCAGCCTCTGGGCTGCCGTGCTCTGGGACACAAATCCCTCCACTGGGAGATTACACATCCTTACCATGAGGGGTGTAAGAAGCTGTTTTGGGCTCTGGAGACATCTCAGGTGAGTGTTTCAGCAGTCAGGTCACAGTGAAGCCAGATGCACTCACTTGACACCCCCAGACTAAATTGGAGGAACTCCAGCTCAGGGCTCTGCTGTTGCCACAACCCCCTGAGGTTTAGTCAGCAAAGTCTGTCAGCAGTGAACTTCACCCTAACCACAGGTTGTGGCTATGTGCCTTCTGCAGACTGTAACTACTTCATAGGCCTAATTTTTCAGGAGATGCCAAGTCATCCACTCTGTGATGGTGGGACTTGTATCCCTTCCCTCTCCTGTCCACACCAAGGCACCCCCTGGCTCCATGAGTGTACCAGCATTGTAGGAAATGCAGTGCCATGCAAAGGTGGTTTTGCAAGGTGGAGAAGACTTACAGTGCTTGTGCTATTAATTCTGCACTGAGTGGTCCCAGAGGCTTTGCTTTTCCCATTCTTTGCTGTGAATTTGTAGAGATACAGCAGCAGCATCAAGGTAAAATATGCAGGTGAGGTGTGCCAGGCCCAGTCAGGAGAGCCTGGCCTATGGATTTCTGTTTGAGAGTTTGACACTGCAGAAGATTTTCCCTGTGTGGTGGTGAGTTTTTTGTATGTTGAGTAGGCAGCTGCTTCTTTTTGCTCCACAA